ATGGCGAGGTGAGCATTGCGGCCAGCAACCGCCTGGTCATAGGCGTCAACTGCTGCATCGTACTCGGCTTTGCGGATAAGGTATGCACGGCGGCGTAAGATGAAATCTGCATCAGCGGTGGCTTGGTCGGTGGTGAGCTGGAGGTCGGGTTCAAGAGGGGGATCGCCAGGAGAGGGAGGGAGAGGAGGAGTCTCGCCGGGGTGATCAGGTTCGGTGGGGGGGAGGGCATGGGGACGGCGGAGGATGACGTCAAGGACGCGGTAGGGGGGAACCCATGCGTCGGAGAGGACCTGTCGGATGCTGCCGACGAATGAGTGCCAGTTGACGGCGGATTTGTCCGCTGCGAGCTGCAGTTTATCGATGGAGGAGGGATCAATAGGAGGAGGGAGGGGGGAGGGGGAGGGTGTGGCGTTAGCCATGATGGACGGCTGCGGGTGGACCCGCAGTGGTCACGGAGGAGAGCGGCGCGGGCGGCAGCGGCTGGCGAGGCCGCGGCGGCGTTGGCGCAGAGGCGGCGTCGAGGCCGCGGAGGGGAGCGGCGCGGGCGGCAGCGGCTGGCGAGGCCGCGGCTGCACTGGCGCGGAGGCGGCGTCGAGGCCGCGGAGGGGAGCAGCGCGGGCGGCAGCGGCTGGTGAGGCCGCGGCTGCGCTGGCGCGGAGGCGGCGTCGAGGCCGCGGAGTGGCGCGGGTGGCGGCGGCTGGCGAGGCCGCGGCGAGGCGGGCGCGGAGGCGGCGTCGGGGCCGCGGAGGGGAGCGGCGCGGGCGGCGGCGGCTGGCGAGGCCGCGGCTAGGCGGGCGCGGAGGCGGCGTCGGGGCCGCGGAGGGGAGCGGCGCGGGCGGCAGGCGGCTGGCGAGGCCGCGGCGAGGCGGGCGCGGAGGCGGCGTCGGGGCCGCGGAGGGGAGCGGCGCGGGCGGCAGGCGGCTGGCGAGGCCGCGGCGAAGCGGGCGCGGAGGCGGCGACAAGGCCGCGGAAGGGAGCGGCGCGGGCCGCAGCGGCTAGGGAGGCCGCGGAGCTGTGGAGGGAAAGGGCACTAAAGGGGGGGGGAGGGCGGCAGGATAGCCGCGAGGAAAAAAAAAATGAGGGAGGAGGCCGGGGGTTGCGGCGGCCGGGTGGGCCTTTGAAACGAGTGGGGTAGGCCTAGGATTGATAGCTCTATACCATGTGAGAAAAGGAGTTAGAAATGAAGTTTTATGATTTGATAGAGAAACAAGGGGGGTATACATAGTAATGGGGTTGGATGCTAGCCTAAGGTGCCATTATTGGACCCCAACCAAGAGGTTGGGTTGGGAGATTATTGGTGGGGTCCAATAATGTTGGCCAAGGCCAACATTATTGGAGGGGGCCAATAATTCTACCCAACCCAACCTTTTGGGGTCCAATAATTGGACCAAGGTTGGGTTCCAACCTACAAACTGGGTTACCCCTGTTTGTACACCCAAACTAAGTTTGGGTGCTTAACTCTAGCCTAACCTATAGCATATATGCAGGTTACAAGAGAAGAGGGATTCTAACAAGAAAGGGCTCTACGTCCTCACTACGTTGGCAGATACGCCCTAGGCAGGGTTGCGTACCACTGCGTATGTACGTGGTACGCCAATACGCTCGTATTTCTTGGAAATATGCTCGGGCAGACCGCCAAAAAAAAAAATTCGAAATTGAAAAATTTCGCGAAGGTTTTGTGACTTCGCGATTTGTTACCGCGAAGTCGCACATCGCCCAACCCAGTTCTGAAATTCAAATTTCGAGTTCCAAACCTTCCAACCCCCCAACCACACACCACCCCACCAAACCTCTCATCTCCAACCATGTTGTCCAGCAACTCGTCTCCTCATATAATGGATGACGAGTTTCTCTGTTTCATTCAATTGCAGTGCTCGCTTTTATTCCCGTAGCTCTCTTCTCCCGTTCGTCCTCATGGCGTCTACCTCCACCCCTCCTGCTGCGACGAGCAATGTTGCATCTGTTAACGCGTCTAATGGCTCAATCAATAGGGAGCCTGTCGAGGCTGGCCTTTCGAACCCCATTCTGAAACATTTTCTCATTTCGTACCATACTAAAGGCACTCCCAAGATGTGTAAGTTCTGTGACTTCACGTTTGAGGGCGGAACCAATCGCTGCGCGGTTCACCTTGCGAAATGGAAAGGGCAAGAGAAACGCGCTGTCCGGCTTTGCAAGAAGGTGTCCCCGGCAGTCCGTGAAGAAGTGCGCGGCATGTACGAGGAGAAGGTGGAGAAGCAGGGCGTCAAACGAGGGGCGGCCGCTGCAGCAATTGACTCCGCGCTGGGCGCGGTCACTGGTTCTTCAGAGAAGAAGGGGAAGATATCGTCCTTCTTCAGCGATGAGGCGACGAGCGCCAAGGAGGACGCGGATAAAGCCCTCTGCCTTTTGATCGCGGCGCTAAGACTTCCCGAGCGCATCGTGGATGACCCGGACTTCCGCTACGCGGTCCAGTGCTTTGCGCGCGCTGGACCGGGGTACGTCCCCCCCAACAGGCGCTACATTGGAGGGGCGGGCTTGAAGAAGGTGCGGCAGAAAATGGAGGAGGCGCTCACACCCGTTGCCGCGAGCTGGAAGCGGGACGGGGTCACCGTGTCGTCGGACATGATGACGGACCGTTGTGGCCGCCCGCAGGCCAACGTGCTCCTTGTCAACGACTCCGGCGCAGTGTTCGAGCAGGCGGTGGACTGCAACATGGAGTCGAAGACCGGGGGGTACATCGCCAGCCTTCTCCGGCCCGTCATTGATAAGGTGGGGCCGGAGAATGTGGTGGCGGTCTGCACTGATGGCGGCAGCAACTATGCCTCGGCAGCCAAGAAGATTGCGAGCACATGGCCGCACATTGAGCATGTGCCATGTGCCACGCATGTCCTGGACCTGAAGATGGAAGACGTGGGCAAGATGGGATGGGCGAAGGGGCTCGTGGAGAAGGGGGGGATGATGATTACCTTTGTGCGCAACCACCACTTCACCCGTGCTTATATGAAGAAGGGTGGGGGGAAACAGGTGCTCAAGCCCGCAGGGACCAGGTTCGGGACGCAGTACATAGCTCTGTCCCGGCTATGCGAGGTGCGGGGTGGGCTGGCGCAGATGGTTCTCAGCGACGAGTGGAATGAGTGGGCAGCGGCGGACAAAGACAGGAAGACTGTAGCTGACAAGTTCAGGGCTGCCGTGATGGATGAGGAGTGGTGGGGGCTGGCGGTGTATTTTACCTCTCTCATGGCGGTGCCGTACAAGGTCATGCGGGCCACGGACTCCTCGGCTAAGGGGATGATGGGTAAGTTGTATGATATCATGCTACAACTTACCGAAGACATCAATGACAAGTTGGACGAGGCAGGCGACTATTTGACAAGGGCGGAAAAGGCAGACAACGCCAAGATTGTGAAGGACAGGTGGGACAACTCCCTTGCCTGCCCCATGCATGTGGTTGGCCGGATCCTTAATCCGGCCAACCAGGTGGAGGGAATTTTCTGGAACGATGTGGAGTGCACTCGAGTGTTCAAGGCCTACATCGAGCGCCACTACGACAACAAAACCTTCAGGCGTGGCAAGGATGGCGCCCCTCGCCGCACCTCCCTTGTGCTGCAAGAGGCATTGCTAGCCTACATCAACATGGAGGGCAGCTTTGGCACGCCGGCCGCCATATCTGCAAGGGAGGCAGTGAAGAAGGGGGAGATGAGCATGGTGCAGTGGTGGTCATGGCACAGCACCGAGTACCCTGAGCTTGCCACCCTCGCATGCCGGATGCTCACTCAGCCCGTCTCGGCTTCCCCATGCGAACGTGGCTGGGCGCAGTGGGAAGGCGTCCACACCGCCCGCCGCAACCACCTCGGGTCCGCCAAGTGTGCGGACCTCGTCTACATTGCGCACAACTGGAACGTTGTGCGCAATTGGTACAAGAATTATGGGGGCAAGAAGGATGGGGGCAGCACGGTTGTGCCCGGTAACATCCCGGATGCCCCTATCCCTCGCGGCTACAACATGGACGAGGAGGAGGAGGATGACCTGCTGGGGGGGGAAGGAGAGGATGCAGTTCTGGCGGATGAGTACGGGGCAGGGGTGGTGTTGGAAAATCCCCGCAAGGAACTTGGCTGTGGGGAAGCTAGCTAGAGGGTGGGGTGGGGATGTATGGGGTGGGGAGAAGTAGCCTCAAAGATGTAATTCTGGATATTTATGAAAATAATTTATGACATGTGTTTTTGGGAAACATTACCCCCCCCCCCTGAAGCAGGTTTTTTTAGCCCTGCCCGGGAAAAAAGTTTTACCTGCCCGCCCAGCGTATTTTTACGTATCACCAGTACGCCACCCCTGGCGTACCGCGTATATACCCAGCGTATAATACGCTAGCGTATTATGCGTGATACTCGTATCTGCCAACGTAGCGTCCTCACAGGAAAATGAGCTGACTCTTGAGTCGACTCAAAGATGTGTCGGAGAAAGGGCTCTACGTCCTCACAGGAAAATGAGCTGACTCTTGAGTCGACTCAAAGATGTGTCAGAGAAAGGGCTCTACGTCCTCACAGGAAAATGAGCTGACTCTTGAGTCGACTCAAAGATGTGTCAGAGAAAGGGCTCTACGTCCTCACAGGAAAATGAGCTGACTCTTGAGTCGACTCAAAGATGTGTCAGAGAAAGGGCTCTACGTCCTCACAGGAAAATGAGCTGACTCTTGAGTCGACTCAAAGATGTGTCAGAGAAAGGGCTCTACGTCCTCACAGGAAAATGAGCTGACTCTTGAGTCGACTCAAAGATGTGTCAGAGAAAGGGCTCTACGTCCTCACAGGAAAATGAGCTGACTCTTGAGTCGACTCAAAGATGTGTCAGAGAAAGGGCTCTACGTCCTCACAGGAAAATGAGCTGACTCTTGAGTCGACTCAAAGATGTGTCAGAGAAAGGGCTCTACGTCCTCACCTGGCAAATCAATCTATGCATAGAAGTGGGAGGAGGAAGAGGGGCCAGGGGGTGGGGCACGGGGAAGCAGCAGGCACCATGAATCTCACCTCCACCTGCGATCTCAGGCGCTCCATCTTGCTCTCCTGCGTCCTCAGCGCGTCTGTCAGCAGCTTCACCAGCAGCGCTCGCTCTAATGATTCAATCTCTTGTTCTCAGTCTCATGCTCTCAGTCCACTGCTCTCCCTTCCAGTTGACGCAAGAGAGGAGAGAGAGGGAGGGGGAAAGCGGAGGGGTGGTCGGAATAAGAAGGCTCCATGCATCTCACTTACCTCCACCTGCGATCTCAGGCGCTCCAGCTTGCTCTCCTGCGTCCTGAGCGCGTCTGTCAGCAGCTTCACCAGCAGCGCTCGCTTCCTCTCACACGCCGCCATCTGATCGCAGCACTGCTGCAGCACGTGGCGCTTCGTGTCCAGCCTGTCCAACACCACCGCCCGCTCGTCCGCCTCTGGTGGGAGAAGAAGAGGGACGGAGAGCAAGGAGAAACGGGGCGAGGACAAGCACTGGGAGGGGAGAAAGGGCGGTTCCTCTCACACGCCGCCATCTGGTCGCAGCACTGCTGCAGCACGTGCCGCTTGGTGTCCAGCCTATCTAACACCACCGCCCGCTCGTCCGTCAAGGAAAGGAGGGAAGTGATGGGAGAGAAATGAGACAAGTGGGAGACGGAAGCAGCCAGCACAGCACTGCTGGAGCACGTGGCGTTTTGTATCCAGCCTGTCTAACACCACCGCCGGCTCATCCGCCTCTGGTGAGAGCAAGGAGAAAGATGGGAGAAGTGGGCGCAATGGAGCATGTGGGCCAAGGAAGCAGCCTGCAGCACAGCTGCAGCACGTGCCTCTCAATGTTCAGCCTGCCCTGTCCAACACCACGGTCTGCTTGTGTGCCTCCAGTGGGAGCAAGCACAGGGGCAAAGGAAGTGATGGGAGAAGCAACGCAAGGGGAGAAGTGGGAGAAGGTCGCAGCACTGCCGCAGCAGCACGTGGTGCTTCGTTGAGCGTGGCGCTGCACTGCCATACCCACACTCACATGCATGCATGTCACAGTCGCACGGAACACACACACGCACGCACTCATGTGCACGCAACGGCAGCACACAACAGCACACAAAACCACACTTGCACTCACTCACCCGATGCATTAGCAGGCAACACGAGAACAGTAGAAAACCTTCTCAATCGTCTGTAGCTCGCTATAAATTCGTGAGGCAAAGGAAACTGCAGCGCACAGCACAGATAGCACATCCCAGCACCGAACCGCACCACATTGCACTCACTCACTCACCCGATCCATTAGCAGGTGACTTGAGCGCAGTGAGCTCCTTCTGAACCATCTGTAGCTCGTTGATTATGGCGCTGCAGCGTGCGCATTACCTGGTGCTTTCAACCCAGTCACATGTGTGCTGTATGCAACAACACACACCACATAGCACACATCCAACTCACCCAATGCATTAGCAGGTGACTTGAGCGCAGCGAGCTCCTTCTCAACCGTCTGTAGCTCGTTGATGATGGCGCTGCACTGCTATACCCACACTCACATGCATCATACATACATGACCACAGCACACAACAGCAGTAAACAGGCACTCACCTGAAGCGTTGGCAGGCGCCTTGAGGGCAGTGAGCTCCTTCTCAATAGTCTGCAGCTCGTTGATTATGGCACTGCAGCGCCGCACTGCCGTGTCCTCGTCCTTGCTTGCGTCCTGCACTGCGCCGTACACTGAGGATATGCGCTCCAGTGGCCCGCGCACCTGGTACCAGGGGAAGGGGGAGGATTCGGGGGAAGCAGGGGTGGGGAAGCGAGTGAGCACACATGTGCTTGCTTTCGCCTGTCCTCATCCTTGCTCGCGTCCTGCACTGCTCCGTATACCGATGATATGCGCTCCAGTAGACCACGCTCCTCTCTCTCCCTCCTTCTCTCCCTCAATCTCTCACTCTCTATCTCTTACTCTCTCTTCCTCCCTCTCTTACTCTCTCTCCCCTCTCTCCCTCCCTCTCCTACTCTCTCTCCCTCCCTCTCATTCCCTCCCTCTTTCCCCTCCTCCCTTTCTCTCACTCCACCTCTCCCTCTCTCTCCCCTTACCCCTCTCCCTCTCCCTCTCCCTCGCTCTCTCCTCCCCTCACTCCCTCCCTCCTCTTCCACCCTGAATCGCACACACGCAGTGCCCATTTTCCTCAACACCACCATAGAAAGTATTCCTGATGCGCCTGAAAAACTCTTCTGCAGCTGCTGTGTCCCTTGCAAAATAACATCTGAGGCGCCTCAAAACTCCTCTGCAGCGCTGCTGTCTACTTGCACTGCATGCATGCCCCTCGCACTGCATGCAGGGTGTGCGTTGGGAATTCTCATAAATACCCTCCATCCCAATCGCCCCTCCTCACCTTGGCCGTGGAAGCAGGTCCCTCCCGCGGCTGGCTGCTCGTCCGAACTTGAGAGCTTATACCTGAGGCGCCTAGAAAATCGTCTGCAATACTGCTGCTTACCGCGCTGTTGACTCACCTTGGCCGTGGAAGCAGCTCCCGCGGCTGGCTGTTCGTCCGCACAATTGAAATTGTTTCTAAGGCACCTGGAATATCAAAAGGGGCCCCCACCGCATTGCCCCCCTCGCACCACACCACACCCCATTCGCGCCTCACCTTGGCCGTGGAAGCGGCTCCCGCGGCTGGCTGCTCGTCCGCCTGAGCGGCTGACGTGGCGGGCGGCGCGGTTGCGAGATCCCCCAGCAGCAGCTTCCTCAGCGGCTCGTCGCGCTGCCCAAACACCTTGCGCTCCTCCCATATGTCCACCTGGCAGCGTGACCGCCACGTGGCGCGGGGTGGTTAGTGGGTCGGGGAGGCGGGAAAGGGGTTTCGGGTAGGAGGAAGGGGGTAGGAGGGAAATGGTGTGGAGAGGGAGGGGAGGGGAGGGGAGGGGAGGGGAGGGGAGGGGAGGGGAGGGGAGGGGAGGGGATGGGAGGGGAGGGGAGGGGAGGGGAGGGGAGGGGAGGGGAGGGGAGGGGAGGGGGAGGGGAGGGGAGGGGAGGGGAGGGGAGGGGAGGGGAGGGGAGGATTCAGAGGTGGATTGGGACCGCGGAAGGATGATTCCTTGGAACCGTCAAAGGCAACCCTAGAAGCTCATGGCGCAAGGCACGGCCCAAGGCACGTCCCAAGGCACGCTCCCAACGCGCGTAGGAGACATTCCCGCTGCTAATACTGATCCCGAATTGCCAGAAACATTTTTGGTACTATGCCCCAACTTGCCGGAGACATTCCCGCTCCTACTACTGATCTCAAACTGGCGAAAACTTTCCCGCAACTACCACTGATCCGGAATGCGGTTCGAATGGAACAACATACGATGCGGAGGGTCGATTTCCGCGTGCTTTCAGGGCCGACGCGCACGAGATCCTGGAGCGCGGAGGGCAGAACCTGCCCGAACTAACCTCCGGAGACATCCCCGCTACTGCTACTGATCTCGAATACCCGGAGACTTTTCCACCAACGCTACTCTCACTCATCCCGAACCGGAACGTACGATGCGGAGGGAAGACTTGCGCGTACTGTCGGGCCCACGCGCACGAGGTCCTGGAGCAGCGCGGAGGGCAGCACCTGCTAGTACTAACCGCCAAAAACATCCCCGCTACTGCCACTGATCTCGAATCAAGCGGAACGTACGATGCGGAGGGTCGATTTCCGCGTGCTGTCGGGGCCGACGCGCACGAGGTCCTGGAGCGCGGAGGGCAGCACCTGCCAGAACTCCTGGATGAACTCTGGGCCCTTCTTCCGGCTGTTCTGCAGAATGTCGTTCGCGAGGTACAACAGTGGTAACTTGCGATCCTGCGACGTGCTCGCGAAGTGCTTCTGCCATGTCTGAACCACCTGGTCGGCGCGCTTCCGGTGGAAAATGCACCAATGGGAGAGCGCTGAGCGGACGGAGATGAGGGGGAGAGGGAGAAAGAGAGCAAGAGAGGGAGCGAGAGACGGATGTAACGGTCAGATATCAACGGTAACGGTAACGTTGACGTCTCGGATCAGCTCAACCTACTCCCTTAACTTCGATGTTACAACCAAGTTTTTGTGTCGAATGGAAATGATTCGTGATAAATAAGGGTGACTATAAAATAAAAGTCGGATTACGGCTAGCTGAGTTAGGCTGGAATGCTGACTGCGACGCGGATAAATCAGTCAGGCGGACCGATCAGGGAGGCTTAACGACCAGTAATGCAGGATCTTACTCTCAATGCTCTGCTGCGATGCATTCAGCTTAGATAGCTTCTCGAAAAGAATGGCGTCGTTAAACGCGTTCATCCTGCACCGCGAGAAATGACGTGAGAAAACAGAAGGCCAGCGCAACAACGGCCTGCGAAGACCTATTTCATCGCCTACTTTATCGCGCGGACCTAATAAACGAGAAAACAAGTAAATCGTAAATAAGGATAGAGGAGGCCTTCAACCCTAATTGCTCCTCGCGGAGCGCAGCCACGGTGCGGTATTTTCGGGTGAAAGGGACGAAGGATTTGAGCCACAGTTTGAAAAAAAATCAACAAACGGATGGAAGGCGGTTCTCGATTAGTTCGGAACGGCTGTATACGTTACGCAGCGTTTGTCCCGCTCACTTGCCTAGTTGATCTCAAAAGAATGGCGCCCTGTGTTCCAGAAGTTACGTAAAGACTGTATCGCGTACAGTCCAACCACGGTATATGGCTCTATTTGCTCAACTGGCCTATTTCTTAGTTGCTCGTTATATAACGAGAGGCCCTCAGTCTTACTTTCAGTCAAAAAATCAATTTTCTGTATTTCCACACGGGTTTAGCTACCGCGGACAACCCCAGGTTTCCGAAAACACATTTTCGTCCCGATTTCCTCTAATTAAGGCTACCTAGCCTCTTTTCCGGGAATTGCGTGCAAAACTGTGTCAAACCTAGACACATATGGTCCCAGCTTGGCTAGGGTCCCTTCCACCTCATCTGTATGATCTGTCTTACAAACACATCTTTTTTTTTTTAATGATAATTGGTAAAGTACACCGAAGGGCAAGCGTACAACACCAAGAACGGTCGTAACCGTGCGTGAGGGGCTGGGCAGACCCTAACCCCGAAAAAGCAAGACGCACTAGGGCACGTTGGGACCCGCCCTCCGAGGTGACCACAAAGCTGCAAACGCGTTTGTCCACTTCCAACTGATATCGTCCTGTGTTAGCCTCCGAAGCATGGTCCGCTCCTTCTCATAATTACACCGCAACTGTTTCCGCCGCGCCGAGCCGAACTTCTGAGTGTAGATCCTTGCATGCTGCCTGAACGCAAAGGCAATCTTCCATAAAACCCTCTGCGTCCGGAACTTGCCGCCACGGAACACCGCCTCACACCGTTCAATCCACAGCTGATGGAAGGTGATGGCGGTGAGAGTCATCTCCGGAAATGCTGAGCTGGTGCCAGGCCTCTGGTTAGGTTTTGAGTTACTCTTTCACGTAAGGCCAACACCCCACTTTCACTTTTTCTGTAAGGGTGCATCACAAAAACAACTCTTTCTAGTAAGGGTGCAAACATTATAACAAGACTCGACGTTAACGTCGGAAGGGTTGCGTAGATGTTACATTCCTTGTTGACAAGAAAAAAAAAAAGAGGAAATGCAGTTTCTATTTCTTATTTAGCGCCAAATTTTGGTCTACCGTATTAAAGAATACGGCAAGCGCTTCTTGATGGTGCAATGTATTCGTTTCAGCGTGGATCTCTATGATTTTTAAATATTGATGTTTCTATTACGTTAAGGTCTAGACACATTGATCGTTTTTCTATATAGTGAATAGTGATGTTCTCTTTCCTTAAAGAGGATGCTTTGTATTGTTACATTGCACTTTTTTTAGTGAGTTGTTTTTAGCCCAGTCAATGTCACGTGATTGTGCGTGTGTTTTCACGTGACAATCCCACCCCACCTGTTTCCTCTCCCTCCCACCCACCTGTCAAAGTTAGCAGACAGAAACAGAAATGAAGAAAGGAGGGGTTTCACTAGCAGTAGTTGGGATACATATAGCAAACCCTAACTGGGTTGTACCCGCTATAGAGCACCCCACTACAGGCTAGATAATAACATTCTGACACACCCCCATAGCCAAAGTGGGGTGTAATCAGCACAATGAGCAGGCATAGTAGGAGTTCACAATAATAAGCAAAGCTAGAGGTAATCACAGCGGGCAAGTGAGGAGGAGGAGGAACTGTGGAAGGAGAGAAGATGGGAGGCAACGACTGAAGCTGCAGAGGCACGGGCACAGGAGCGGCTGACTCAGTGGCTACCGAAGCAAGGGCGACGGACTACTGGAGTGACTGGCTCCGCGGCTAAGACGAGCGGCAGGAGCAACGGACCCACTGGCGACTGGTGCAACAGGCTCACTGGCTACCGAAGCAAGGGCGACGGACTACAGGCGCTGCAGGCGACACGACAACTACCTCCACACAACTTCCTCCAACTGACCCACACCCTTGACACACACCCCCTGCTGAACCCCTAACTCCACTCCCACGTCACCCCCCTAGCGCCATTCCCCTCGGCTCCCACACCTCCACCCCCCTCAGCAGCAGCTGCAGCAGTGGGAGACGAACAAGGAGGTGGGGAGAGGGAAGGGGAGTACCCACACCGCGCACCCCCATGCTCGCCACCCCACACCCCCCACCACCGCGGAACGCACGGTAGCACCGGAGGAATGGGCAGCACGGGGGGGGGGGGGGGGGACGGCACAGGAGGGGGGGGGGGGGCGCGCGTCTCTCCTCAGGGCGCCAAAACGGACGGGCGGGGGGGGGGGGCGCGCGCGGCTCCCCAGGGCGCCGCGACGGACGGGCGGGGGGCGCCCGCGGCTCCCCAGGGCGCCGCGACAAGAAGGGCGGGGGCCGCGCGTGCTCCCCAGGGCGCCGCGACGAGCAGGGCGGGGGCCGCGCGCGGGTCCCTAAGGCCGCGCGCGGGTCCCTAAGGCCGCGCGACGGGCAGACAGGCCGCGCGCGGCCTGCAGGCCTGTGCACGGCCTGCAGGGCGACGCGACGGGAAGGGCGGGGGGCTGCGCGCGGGTCCCCCACGGTAGGAAACCGCCGCGCGCCTCGGGGCGCACGGCGGGCAGAAAACCCTAAAACAATTTCGCCACGGGGCGTGCAACAGACAGAGTATCAGCGGAAGCAGTTAGGTGGTGGGCCCACCCACAGGATCGACCCAAGGGGGTCGACCTGCTCTGAAACCATGTTAGAATCAAGCAGTACGAAAAGTTAGAAACAGAAAAGAGGTTTCACTAGCAGCAGTTGGGATACATATAGCAAACCCTAACTGGGTTGTACCCGCTATAGAGCACCCCACTACAGGCTAGATAATAACATTCTGACACCACCCACCCACCTCGTCATAGCCTCTACCTCCACCCCACCATCTTTTCTTTCCCACCACGCCGTCCTCTCTCCCTCCCACCCGCCGTCGCCTCCCACCTGCCGTCGCCTCTCCTTCCCACCCGCCGTCGCCGCTCCCTCCTCCCGCCGCCGCCGCTCCCTCCTCCCGCCGTCGCCGCTCCCTCCTCCTGCCGTCGCCGCTCCCTCCTCCCGCCCGTCGCCGCTCCCTCCTCCCGCTGTCGCCGCTCCCTCCTCCCGCCGTCGCCGCTCCCTCCCACCCCGCCGTCGTCGCCTCCCCCGCTCGTCCCGCCGTCGCCGCTGACAGCAGCTGCACGAGCGCGAGCTGGTGGGTGAGCGCGGATCGACCCCTGAGGCACCGTAATTTTCAGGTGCGTTGTCCTTTCCCGGTCCATTTCTCCTCCTCCTCTCGAAGAAATTCATTTACTTTTGTACGTTTTTCGTAAGTTTTTTGTGTGTCGATCGATCTCCTTTTGCATTGCAATACCAATTGAAGAGAGGGAGAGAGGGAGAGCGAGTGAGAGAGTTCGCACGCGAACGAACACGCTGGCGCCTAGTGCGCTGGTGCCTAAAGCCTTGCCGCCGTGCGTGCTGGCGCCGTGCGCGCTGGCGCCGTTCGCGCTGGCGCCTTGCGCACTGGCGCCTTGCGTACTGGCGCCTTGCGCGCTGGCGCCTAACGCGCTGGCGCCCAACGCGCTGGCGCCTAACGCGCTGCCGCCTTGCGCGCTGGCGCCTAACGCACTGGCGCCTATCGCGCTGGCGTCTTGCGCGGTGGCGTCTTGCGCGCTGGCGCCTTGCGCGCTGGCGCTTAACGCGCTGGCGCCGTGCGCGCTGGCGCCGTGCGTGCTGGAACCGTGCGCGCTGGAACCGTGCGCGCTGGCGCCGTGCGCGCTGGCGCCTTGCGCGCTGGCGCCGTGTGCGCTGGCGCCTTGCACGCTGGCACCTTGAGCGCTGGCGCCTAACGCGCTGGCGCCTTGCGCGCTGACGCCTAGTGCGCTGGTGCCTTGCGCGCTGACGCCTAGTGCGCTGGTGACTTGCGCCTTGGTGCCTAACGCGCTGGCGATTAGCGCTCTGGCGCCAGGGGGCCGCGTGAGAGGCCATGTGAGAAAGCGCGTGAAAGTGCGCGTGTTAGTGAGCGTGAGAGTGCGCACGTGAGAGAGCGAGTGAGGGAGAGTGTGAGAGTGCGCATGTGAGTTCGCGTGAGAGTGCGCGCGTGAGAGAGCGCGTGAGAGCGTGTGTGAGAGCACGCGTAAGGGAGCGCGTGAGAGTGCGCGTGAGGGAGCATGTGAGAGTGCGCGTGAAAGTGCTCGTGAGAGTGCGCGTGAGAGTGTGCGCGTGAGAGTGCGTGAGTGTGCGCGTGAGAGCACTCATGAGCGAGCGCGTGAGGAAGCGCGCGAGAGTGCGCGTGAGAGTGCGTGTGAGAGAGCGTGTAAGAGTGTGCGCGTGAGAGAGCGCGTGAGATAGTGTGTGAGAGCGCGTGAGAGTGCGCGTAAGAGTGCGCGTGAGAGTGCGCGTGAGAGAGCATGTGACAGTGCGTGTGCGCGTGATAGTGCGCGTGAGAGTGCGTGTGAGAGGTGAGAGGGCAGGTGAGGGAGCGCGTGAGAAAGCACGTGAGAGGGCGCGTGAGAGAGCGCTCGAGAGACGCGTGAGGGAGCGAGTGAGAGAGGGTGTGAGAGTGCGCGTGAGAGTGCGCGTGAGAGAGCACGTGAGAGAGCGTGGAGAGAGCGCGTGAAAGTGCGCGTGAGATTGCGCGAGGGAGTGTGCGAGAGAGAGAGTGTCGAAGAGTATCTGTGAGAGAGTGCGTGAGAGGGCGTGTAGGTTTGTGTGTTCGTTTCTGAGAGAGTGTCGAAGAGTATCTGTGTGTCTGTGTGTGAGTGGGTGGAAGATTGAGTATAAGAGTGAGTGCGAGCGTGATTGTGAAGTTGAACGTGAGGGTGGCTACAATGTATTGTATCATGTTGGCGTAGTACTATGGTGCCACACCATTTTACCTCTGTGAGTTGTCAAATTTCCTGCTTGGCCTCCTTGCAGGGAAGCATTATGCATTGTATTATTATTTTTTGTACAGTGTGTGAACATTCTTTGCTTTTGCCTCTTTTCTTGTGCAGGCCGCGTGCTTTGCATTCTCTATTTTTGCTATGTGCAGGGCGCGTGTGCTGCATTCGTTGATTTTGTTTGGCAGAGAAGGGAGATGAGGGAGGGGGTGAGAGGGAGATGAGGGAGGGGGTGGGAGATGAGGGAGGGAGGGAGGTAGGGAGGGAGGGAGGGAGGGAGGGAGGGAGGGAAGGAGGGAGGGAGGGAGGGAGGGAGGGAGGGAGGGGGGGAGGGGGGGGATGGGGGACAGGCTAGTGATACTTTATACAAGGCTGAACTTCATTCATTATTCTTGCATGCTTATTACCGTAGCTGTATGTTTTTGCGTTGTGTGTCTGTGTGTATGTGTGAGCCTGTGTGTGTGGGTGCGTACATGTGCATATGTGTTATGTGTGTTTCAGGGTGTGGTATTAAGTGCCTCGTGAATGCAACTCGGATTGTGATCGTCGGTGGGGCAGCTTTGCTAGCCTCTTCTGTACCATATCAATCCCAGTTGCAGCATTGATGCATTTAGTATTCGCCTTGAAACATTCTCTTAATCGTTGTCCGTCCTTTGTTTTTGTTCCAGCTTGTATGTTATCGTCTGTGCTTGTTTTGGGGTGTGGTGCAAAGTGCCTCATGTATGCAACTGGAGTTGTGATCGTCGGTGGGGCAGCTTTGCTTGCCTCTTCCGTACCATATCAATCTCAGCTGCAGCATTGATGCATTTTGTATTCCCCTCAAAACATGTACGACGGTTTTTGTACACGCTCGTTTTCGTGGTCATTTGTGTATGTGTGCCTTTCAGTTCCTGTGTCATTTGGTGTTACCATTAATGCTAGAACGATTGTCCAATTATTCCATTCGCCGTACTTATCGACGATTATGGATGATTGGACTCATTTGGTTTCACATAAGGTAATTTGCGTGAATAGTGTTCTCTTCCAGAATTTTGGAGGGAAAAAACACTGTTCACGCCAGTTCCCCGAAAATTGAAACCAATTGTATAAGGATGCTACGCAGCCCAAAACTATTTTACTAGGTTTTTAATCTTCTACTGAGGCTGAGCTATTGGTGGTGCAGTGGGTTGCGTGAAGACTTTTTTGCGGACACTCAAGTTCGATACCTGATGGGAGCAAATCTGTAAAGAGCAGCATTTGTTGCATCTTACCGTACCCTTTTAGATCTAACTCAACATCATCAGTGTCACTACACCACATAACTCTGAAATATCAGTGTACTAAAGCCAAACACTTTTTCTTGTAAGGGTTAATATAATGACCACTCTGAAAAAAAAGGGTGCTTAGTCAAACCCAGCCTTATAGTAAGGGTCATAAGGGTGAATCACCCTGTTAACCAGAGGCCTGGCTGGTGCCCGTTTTCCGGAACAGAAGATCACCCAACGTGTCGATCCTGCGGCCAAGGTTCAGCATGCACAGCGCACGCCTGAGGGCCGAGGAAACCACTTGAACACGTGGGCAGAGCAGGAGGCAATGCTCCATTGATTCCGATTCCCCGCAGTACGGGCAGACAGGCTTGCTGCTGAGGAAAGCCAACCTCTCCCCGACTTGCAAATTCCAGCCGTGGATTCTGATGAGAACATCCTGCGGACGGCTAGGAACCGCCAGAGAGAAACAAGACTCGACGTTTACGTCGGAAGGGTTGCGTATAGTTGTTTCTAGTGGTATAAGAAACATATGAAGGAACATTATACAATTATGTACATGTTTGTACGCTTCTCTAGTTATTAAAAGGTCACTATTCGGACGGTGATGATATTTTATATTATAATAGACAATATTTTTTATCTTCGTCTTGCTATATTGCACCATCTAATTACTATAGTGGGTTCATTGTTTTCAGCTCGTGGTGATGCGTGTGTTTCACGTGACACAGCTTTCAAATTAGTTTCTTGCTCATATTTCTACATATACACCTAAATGAAATATTGTCCATGCCTAGTTGTTTATTCTGCCCTAACAATACAATCACCTTAGAAATGTGAATCGCATCTGCCGCAAACATTACACACTATTCTAACGAGTAACAACTGTATTGTTTCCTTTTACACTTGTCAACTCGAATTTGACGCTTTGTCTCTTCTGGTGCCTGATCGGTAGCACCCTTAAAGGCGGGGTGCAACTTCTTAGGAACAGTAGCAGGACAAACATGGAGTGTGCGTAACGAGACCCTTATTGGATGAAAAAAATGGAATCTCGGAAAAGACAAACTTCTCGCCACAGAACTGCCTGGGACAACCAAGTTCCAAGCTATAATACTTCGAAGTTGAAGCTGATAGTTGGGCCACGGCTTTAAGCGGGGTGAGTGAGCTTCTAGGCAGTTCCCTTAGTCCCGCTTTGCACGTGTGACGGAAGTTTACTCAGTCCGACGTGGCTTACTCCGCGTAAGTCAGAATGGGCAAACGATCGCCCGAACACCCTACTCGGAGTACGACTCGAAGTGACCATTCAGGAAGGTTCCTTCACGGGCAAACTTAGCTCCGCGGCTGAACTCCACTAACCCTGGCTTTTTGTGAGAGTAAGCCCCGCTTACTCGGATTAAGCCCGCGAAGGGTGAACCCGATAAAACCCGAAATTTTACTTTATGTTTTCCGGGAAGCCCTCAAATATCTTCAATTTTTTTCATTTCCCCAGGTCCCAGTGGTTCTTGATGTTGTCATTCTCTGGATAAGTTACCCCTATTGGTTCTTGATTCTTGGTTCTTGGTCAGTTCTTGGTTCTTGATTCTTGTGACTACCTATAAGAGCTATCCCGTTTTCTGAACACCCCGCCGTCCCCTCTCCTCCAAACCCAGTGTATCCTCTCCCTCCAATCCCGCCAGCGCCTCTCCCTCCTCCCAACCGCCGTCGCCTCTCCCTCCCATCCCGCCATGGCCTCTCCCTCCCGCCCCGTCATAGCCGCTCCCTTCCTCCTCGTCGTCGCCTCTCCCTCCCTTCCCGTCGTCGCCTCTGGTGGGTGCACGAGCGTGAGCGCGTGTTGCTGAACGACCTCGCGTTGTTTTCACCGTTGTCTCAGGTGCGTATACGTTTCTCGGACCTTTTTACCTCCCTCCTTTTCTTAGGTTTTCTACTTTCTTCGTGAGTTCTCTATGCCGAATTTTCTTAGCATTACACTCCCATAGCTCTCCTCTTTGGTCGCCTAATGCGCTGGCGCCTAGCGCGCTGGCGCCTAACGCGCTGGCGTCTAACGCGCTGGCGCCTAGCGCGCTGGCGCCTAAGGCCCTGGCGCCTAAGGCGCTGGCGCCTAGCGCGCTGGCGCCTAGCGCGCTGGTGTCTAGCGCGCTGGCGCCTAACGTGCTGGCGCCTAGCGCGCTGGCGCCTATCGCGCTGGCGCCTAGCGCGCTGGCTCCTAAGGCGCTGGCGCCTAACGCGCTGGCGTCTAGCGCGCTGGCGCCTAGCGCGCTGGCGCCTAACGCGCTGGCGCCTAAGGCGCTGGCGCCTAGCGCGCTGGCGCCTAGCACGCTGGCGTCTAACGCGCTGGCGCCTAGCGCGCTGGCGCCTAGCGCGCTGGCGCCTATCGTGCTGGCGCCTAGCGCGCTGGCTCCTAAGGCGCTGGCGCCTAGCGCGCTGGCGCCGAAAGCGCTGGCGATTAGCGCGCTGGCACCTTGCAGCGTGCCGCGCGCTGGTGGCTTGTGCGCTGCTTGTTGCGGCAGTGCGCTGGTGAATTCCTGCGGCGGCCTTTCAGCGCTGCGCACTGGCAAATTATTGCGCACGCCTTGCTCCAGTGAGGTCACGGGTTGCTGCAGTGAGGTAACGCGTTGCTCCAGTGAGCTCACGCCTTGCTGCAGTGAGGTCACGTCTTGCTGCAGTGAGCTCACGCCTTGCTGCAGTGAGCTCACGCCTTGCTGCAGTGAGCTCACGCCTTGCTGCAGTGAGCTCACGCCTTGCTGCAGTGAGCTCACGCCTTGCTGCAGTGAGCTCACGCCTTGCTGCAGTGAGCTCACGCCTTGCTGCAGTGAGCTCACGCCTTGCTGCAGTGAGCTCACGCCTTGCTGCAGTGAGCTCACGCCTTGCTGCAGTGAGCTCACGCCTTGCTGCAGTGAGCTCACGCCTTGCTGCAGTGAGCTCACGCCTTGCTGCAGTGAGCTCACGCCTTGCTGCAGTGAGCTCACACCTTGCTGCAGTGAGCTCACGCCTTGCTGCACTGAGCTCACGCCTTGCTGCACTGAGCTCACGCCTTGCTGCACTGAGCTCACGCCTTGCTGCAGTGAGCTCACGCCTTGCTGCAGTGAGCTCACGCCTTGCTGCAGTGAGCTCACGCCTTGCTGCAGTGAGCTCACGCCTTGCTGCAGTGAGCTCACGCCTTGCTGCAGTGAGCTCACGCCTTGCTGCAGTGAGCTCACGCGTTGCTGCAGTGAGCTCACGCCTTGCTGCAGTGAGCTCACGCGTTGCTGCAGTGAGCTCACGCGTTGCTGCAGTGAGCTCACGCGTTGCTGCAGTGAGCTCACGCGTTGCTGCAGTGAGCTCACGCCTTGCTGCAGTGAGCTCACGCCTTGCTGCAGTGAGCTCACGCGTTGCTGCAGTGAGGTCACGCCTTGCTGCAGTGAGCTCACGCGTTGCTCCAGTGAGCTCACGCGTTGCTCCAGTGAGCTCACGCGTTGCTCCAGTGAGCTCACGCGTTGCTCCAGTGAGCTCACGCGTTGCTCCAGTGAGCTCACGCCTTGCTGCAGTGAGCTCACGCCTTGCTGCAGTGAGCTCACGCCTTGCTGCAGTGAGCTCACGCCTTGCTACGGCAGCCCGCTTGCTCCTCTGCCGGTGCCTTGCTGCAAATCTCTGGCTCCTTGTAGCATGGTGATGCCCATCTCGTTGCACCAAGCAGCCCGCTTGCTCCTCTGCCGGTGCCTTGCTGCAACTCTCTGGCTCCTTGTACCATGGTGATGCCCATCTCGTTGCACCAACGCACCTTTCTCGTTGGAGCCTTGCTGCACACCAGCGTGGTGTGCGTGACCCCAGGGGATCCATGCTTCAAACCACGATTGTGAGTCGTAAAATTCAGTTTCCTTTTGTACTTATCATATTTCAGCCCATACTTGCTTTTCAAGTTCCATTTCACAATCAAGTGCGTGCTCGTAATTGATTAATTCACTCTGTTTTCTGACTACATTTCATTTTCTACTTGACCTGTTTGTTTTGCAAGGTGTGCGAGACGCGTCGTGGGGAGCACTCAGGAGAATTCGAGAGAGAAGACAATGTGGAAAAGGGTCGGAGGAGATATGTAAAATTTTTAAAGTTAAACTTCTAAAAATTTGAAGATTCTGATTCGACTAGAAGAGGAGTTTGCTGTAAAGGAGACAAACTCCTTTTCATTCCCGCAGGTCTCTCAGACCTGCCACCTAGTCTCATTTGCATTTTCAGATCTCCAATTTGCTTCCCACCAGCACACTCCCTAAACCCCTCCTATGCCTAGAGTTGGGCATAGGAGCACTTTAATCAACGACGTGATCAACGTCAGGTTTTCAACCATGGCGTCTGGCTTTGTTTCCGCAGTAACCGGCCGACCCCCCGCTCCACAAATGGTTACGCGCAGCAGCGGAAGGCGTGCTTCCCCGCCAAGAGATGAGGATCGCGCATCTTCCTCCCGCGATCGCTCAAGATCGCCACGTCGAAATGGCGGAAACGCAACATTGACAGCGCTGGACCTGTTGAATGGCGCGAGACAGCCTCCTCCTTCTGCACCTAATGTCGTCGCCGACGGACCTGGTAACGAGCGTGGGCCCCCCGGATTTCATGTCGAGGGGCGAGCGGCACGTGCAACCAACGACCCGCCTCAGCCAGGCGAAAACGCCCCTGCGCGCCAGGGTCCTGCAATCCAAGCACAAGACCGCAATGATCGCGGTCCTGCACAAGCAGATCGCAATCATCGCGATTCTGCACGTGCAGATCGCAATCAGCGAGATTCTGCACGTGCAGATCGCGACCGCGATTCTGCACGTGCAAGCCGCGAGCGGGATCCTGCGCGTGGCGAGCGTCAGATTCGGGAGCCAGCACGCGAGGATCACCGCCCCGATTCTTCAAATCGGCGCGCGAATCAGGGCGAGCAGCGAGATCCGCAGAATCCGGCAGCTGGGATTGCCGAAATCGCTGAAATCATTGCTCGCCTTGACCCCGCCAGCCAGCAGAATCTGAGGCGAATGTTCACTGAAACTGGCGGCGAACGCGTTATGGCGCGATCCAACGCTTCTACAGGGCGCCATGTACCCGAGAATTATTCGGCGCGCTACACTGGAAACAACACCGGAGCGGCAGCAAATAATAACGACGCAATCGGCCACGTGATCGGCCTTCTCGCGGCGCTTCAGCGCGGCAACAACGATGAAGCCGCAGCAACAGCTGATCCTGTTCGTCCAGCTGCCGCAGCAGCAGCAGCCCGTCCCCGCGCTCCCCCTCCTCCTCTTAATCCCGAGGGTGACGACGACGACGACCACGACAACGTTGAGAACCTCGACGAAGGTAATACCACTCGTCTCAAGGCCAATCCAGCAACCATTAGTCTTGCCCCCATACCTCCTGCACGTCCTCAATTACGCTCCTCACTCGTCAAAAGCGACGGCATTCGTACTCAACTTTTTAGCTTTGAACGCATTCAAGCTATCGCTCGTCATGCCTTCTCGATTTTACCTTCCCACGGTGGCGAGCAACTCGCTGATTACCTTCAGCAAATCATTGACGAGGCTGAAGAAAAGATTCATTTCTTATTTACCGCGGATCAGCGCGGTTTTGAAGTAGCCAACATGGCTTTAAAGATTAAGTACGGCGAGGTGGTGGAAGATAAAAACGTTAAGGCCGCCACCCAGATTGTGGCGGCCAGCAAAAAAAGGCCACGCGGGCCCACATCCACTTCCCGTCCAAGCCCTGCACCTCGTAATCGAGGCCAAGGGGAACGCCATTGGACCTGGCGTAGGGATGGCGATGGGCGTTGCTTCTATTGCCGAGAGCCCGGTCACGGAATAGCCGATTGTCCGCAGCGGGGCCAAGGGGCCAACCAACCTTCTAAGATTGTTTAAGATTTGTGTTTGGTTGTTTTCTTTATTATAAAGACTATTTGGACTTACCCGTCGATCTAAACATTCCCGATATACATCAATGTCAAGAGTTGTTTATTTGAAAAGAGATCATGCAAAAAAAAAAAAAAAAAATCAACAAACAACAAACAAACAGACAAATAAGAAGATTATCATAACTGAGAGCGTGATTATGCATTACGCCCCTAAACTTCTCTCTTGAAAAACCAAAAAAAAGGGGGGAGAGAGACACAATCAGAGAAAAGAGAAAAAGGAAAGAGACAAACAGAGAGAAGAAATAGGAGAGAGAGACCGATTGAAAGAGACGATGGATTCTACAATTTGGTGACACATGGGTGGGCATGTGCGCCCTACACGTCTGCCATGGTCATAGGATGGTATCTCCCCACAACGCGTTGCGTTTAATATGACTAGATAATCATATAACATGCTAATCTAATCCCGTGCGTGATCTTACCCATCCCCTTCCAGAATTTGGCTTCATGCCACACATCAAGGCACAAGGTGATGTGCGACACATGCGAGGACGCTTGCGGGAACGTTCCACATGGTGGAACTCCTGGTGCACGAGTCGCTTCATCTTGTCAGTCATTGTGTCGGGGTATCGCCTACCGTGGCGGTCACACGAACCTACCCCGCACCATGCCCCGAACCACTCGGGAGCGTTGCAACACACGGCTTTCGCGGTCGAAGCAGTGGCTGGCCTACTTGCTTCAGGCGCGGCCCGCATCGTCCCGGCCGAGGAGCCGGTCACCTGTGTTAGCCCACTAAACGTGGTTGTTCAGCCTTCTAAGAAACGACTTATACTAGACCTACGGCATGTAAATTCATTCCTTTCCATCCCTCGATTCCGGTACGAAGGACTCAACAGGGTCCCCGACCTAGTCCATAAAGGCGATTGGTTGTTCACCATCGACCTCAAGTCGGGTTATCACCACGTGGACATTCACCCGTCATTTTGGCGGTTCCTCGGATTTTCCCTGCAAGGCCAACGATACCAGTTTCTGTCACTACCCTTCGGGCTTGCTACAGCGCCCTTCATGTTCACACAGCTAATTAAGCAGTTGGCAAAGCGTTGGCGCAGTAGAGGGATCCGATTAATTCCTTACGTTGACGACCTTTTGTTCATATGCGCTACGCGAACCGAAGCGTTCCGGACCCGCATCATCATTCTAGACGACCTCGGGTCCGCAGGTTTTTGTCAGAGTTATATGACATAGCTACTGTAGGCTATAGTGGGGTAGCACATATGGGGTACAGTTGCCTAGGGTTTGCCTTTTGTACCCAACTTTCACTTAGTCATTTCATTCCTGTTTTCTTGATTCACATGGTATAGAGCGGGTTCCTACATGGGACCGTTCCTTCCTAAGGGCCCACCATAAGAATTTTTTTTTTAGCTGCCCGCGCACATTGCGCCCTGCCCTAAAATTTTTTTTTAGCGGCCCCTACGCTGCCCCTACGCGGCCCCTACGCCGCCTCCCACGCGCCCCCTATGCGGCCCCTGGCGGCGCCCTGACGAGGCCCCTGCCGGCGCCCTATCGCGGCCCCTGACGCGCCCCCTAGTGGCGCCCTGACGCGGCCCTGATGCGGCCTGACGCGGCCCCTGGCGGCGCCCTGACGCGGCCCTGCCGTGGCCCCTGACGCGGCCCTGACGCGGCCTGCCGCGGCCCCTGCCGCGGCCCTGAAGCGGCCCCTGACGCGGCCCTGACACGGCTCTGCCGCGGCCCTGACGCGGCCCTGACGCGGCCCTGCCGCGGACCCTGGCGGCGCCCTGACGCGGCCCCTGACGAGCCGCCCAGCAGCCTAGCCGCCCAGCAGCTGAGCCACCGAGCCGCCCAGCAGCCGAGCCGCCGAGCCGCCCAGCAGCAGAGCCGCCGAGCCGCCCAGCAGCCGAGCCGCTGAGCCGCCCAGCCGCCGAGCCGCCCAGCAGCCGAGCCGCCCAGCAGCCGAGTCGCCGAGCCGCCCTGCAGCCGAGCCACCCGAGCCGCCCTGTCCGGTAAGAGCAGCGCCTCTCTCACAGCACTGCCCTCACCCCACTGTTTGCGCTGCTAGTCTACTGCTGTCATGGCTACCCCTAGTGTCCTCGCTTTTGACGCTGAGGGTCGGGCCATTGACTTTGACGTCTGGATAGATGACCTGCAGCTTTTCTTACAGTGCGATAGGGCAGACGGCCTCTCCCTCTTTGACCTCACTTCTGGTGCCTCTCCTGCCCCCGCCACTGATGCTGACGCAACTGTTCGCTCCCAGTGGGCCACGCGCGATGCTGCTGGACGTCTTGCTGTGCGTCGCCACCTGCCTACCTCTGAGCGTGCGCACTTTAGCCAGTACAAGAGTGCTCAGACCTTGTACGACGCTGTAGTTGCACGCTACTCCTCCCCTGCCACTGCTGCACTGAGTCGCCTCATGCTACCGTACCTCTTCCCTGACCTTGCTGCCTTTCCCACAGTCGCTGACCTCATTACGCACCTACGCACTAGTGACACTCGCTACCGCGCTGCGCTTCCTGCTGAGTTCTGCGCCAAGAACCCCCCCCCCATGTACATCACCCTCTACTACATAGTCACCCGGCTCCCTGACTCCCTTCGCGTAGTCAGGGACCACTTCCTCTCAGTTTGCCCCACCACTCTCACCGTTGACCTCCTCGAGAAGTCCCTCCTAGTAGCAGAGAAGAGCATAGTAGCTGTAGGAGCCTCTCGTGGTGACCCTCGCACCCCCATCTTTGAGGGGTGTTCCCCCTCCCCCCTTTTGCCCTCTGTTGCCTCTGCTGCTGCGGCCGACCTCGTTGGGCTTGAGTCGGTCGGTGCGGCGTCTACCCCTAGCAGGAGACGCCGCCCTGGCAAGGGCAAGGGGGGCAGGGGCGCTGGAGGAGCTAGCGGGGGCGGTGGAGGCGGCAGTGGAGGCGGTGGAGGAGGTGGGGGTGGCGGTGGGGGTGGTGGCGGG